GGAATTAATCAACAATCTTTCATGAGACACTTGCCACAGAAACATTTTAACTTCATCTGAAATTTACCATATCCAAAACTTAGCCTACCTAAGATTCAGACTGTGTTGTTCTCTAATTTCACGATGAATTCATAAGCAAATCTAACGAAGAAAGCTCCGGCTAGAGATCCAACCTAGCTAAAACATAAACATTACCCCTTGGAGTAGGGATAGTGCACAGGAAATTGATAACAGTGAAAGAAAGGTAATTTATATCCCACCACCTTCATTTAACACAAAATCCCTAACTAAGGCTTTGGGATTTCCCATGAATTACAATTAGTCGCATAAGTAAAGAGGGTTGATCAAAATCAGTCTATTTATCCCACCAAAACATAGTTTCTCTACCTCCTACAACTTTTCTTTTAATTCCTTTCAAGAAACTATCCTAAACTTTAACAATGCTCCTCCAAGTATAGGAAGACTTGTTCTTCTTGTTAACATTAATGCCTCTCAACTTTGGAATATGTGATTGGATGGTTATGGGAGGTCTTCTAATTCTTCTTTTTATAAGTCTTTTGTCCCCTTTTTGGCCTCAAAATTGCCTTTATAATGTTTGTGTCTCATTTGATTCTCCCAAAATCTTCTTTAAAATTTAGATCTAGAGTTGATAGGTGTTAAGTATGCTTATCCACCCTTTCTTATTGTAATGTTCGTCTTAATATTAATAAGACACACCATACACAACAGACTATTATGGTAAATAGAGTTAAATAAATTAATTTGAAATCAATTAAAGTTAATTAAGATCTTAATAAAATCCTTTTTAAAGAATCGAATGAGCTTAACATGTGATTAAAATCAAAGTTTAGAACACATGGGAAGCATAGGAATTAAATTATAAAGAAATAAATAAAAATAGGAAAAATTATAATTTTTCTCAAAAAGGGGCCATGATGACACAAAGAGATTACTCCCTTATTATGCCATGCATCGTAGTACGGAGACCATGTACCACAACGCATCATGTTGTCATGACACCATAATAGATCCAACTTCTGGCGTGTGCCATTTCTCCATCTAATGTCCAATTAGAGAGATTCAAGCACCCATATGAATCTTACTCAAATATTTAACTCATAGCATTAGTTTCATTTCAAAATAATATCCTACTTAAAAGTTGGACACCCATATGAAAAATTATTATTTTCTAAAATTAACACGCATCCAAGTGCCCTAATTTTAAACCAAATGCTATTAGCCTTCACTGAGATTTAAACCAAGTCTAATAGACTGACAATTACCTAATAAAGCAATCATATAGATAATAACACATTCCAAACACAAATTAGCCACACAAACCTCAATATCAATAAAAAAAGGCAATTTCTCAACAAATCACATGGCTAATAAAAACATATATTTAAATCTCTACAAGTTTTATACTACCAAACATACACTTAGCTTACATTAGTAATTTGGCCTTACAATATAGCTTCAGCACATAAGACATATTCCCCAAGCCAAATTACAAAATCACAAATATATATCATGCAAGTGCAATCAAATCAGTGACATGATCCTAGTTAGCAATGTTTACATATATATTCAATTACACATTTAAATCAAAAGTCAATAGGGCATTTACAAAAGTAGATCACTTGTTTAGTCTTTGCCCTAACCACCTTCCCCCATCCTCCTATCGACATTGTCACTTGTAAAATTGTAACCACAGAGTGAGATTGAGTCCTAATAACTAAATAAGTTATATTATCTACAAGCAGGCCAAACAATAAACAAGCACGCGAAGTGGGATACAAGATAAATTACATGATCATGGCACATAATGACAATAAACATGACTAGTAAAGTTATGCATGATCCACAATTCCATCTTAACCTCCCTAACATCCATTAATCGAATTCTTAGGCTAATAAACAATTGGGCCAAGTTTATGTGACTAAACTAACCTGAGCTCATTAAACAATGAAGGCAACCAAAGCAAGGTGCCATTCCACTTTCAAACCACAATTTCTCCCCTTTTTGAATAATTAGGGTGTCACATGCAAAGACTTCCAAATAGATATATAACTAATCATCAGGGCCACTCGTGATGTCAGTTAGTACCATGTGGTTTTAAGATACTCTCCCAAGGGTAAACTCCCATCTTCACACATACACAATCATGCTTATATGTGTCACAATTTCACACAATAATCACCATGATCAACTCATAGTTGTCATAGATTAAGGTTATAAACTTCCATATAAACACACACACACTTTTACTTATTCATTTCATGAAATGTCATAAATGATCTAACAAGCTAGTGAGTAAGGTAGATTATCCAGTGACCTCAATTTTTTTGTTACCGAAATGGGTTAACTTAGGATTTCAGTATTTCTCAAGCCTCCTTAGTCTTGAAAAGGTTCTGACTAATCATAATCTACATGATTAAATAATATCAATTTTCAACTCTAACATAGGCACTTTTAATCTTAATTAAACTACCTATAACTCTAACTTTTATTATTGGCTAAACCAAAGCCTAACAACCTTCCATTAGTTCCATTTAGCTTTTATAAGGTTAAATAACACTAATTTAAAGTCCACATTACCCCAGTATTCAAATTTGAGTCTAGGGTTTGTCTAAACCCTAGAGCCCAACTTAAAAATAACATACAATCTCTAATTATAAGTATATAAACCTTAATTAACCCCCAATAATCTCAACAAACTCAGTGGGTTCAATTTAAACCTAAGGAGTGATGAAATCACCATCCTCTAACACCCAAACCAATAGAAAATTCACTTAAAGAGGAAGAAAATTGATTAGAAAGCTTACCTTAGTGTCGGCCACTTAAGTGCTGAAAAGCCCCGTCCATCATAGTGCACCATGGTGGATGGCACAATGAGCCCATTTTGAATTTGAGTCCTCCACTTAGGCCCAATTAGTCCAATGCCCATCTTAGCCCAATCCTAAGGCTATCAAATGTTCCAATAAGTTTATTAGTGTTGTGCTCGAATTGTGATCTTCCTGGAAAGAAACATCAATAAATGTAAGAGTCATCATTAAAATTTTAAAAGGATAATTTTTGAAACTTTTCAAAAAATAAAATGATCTACAATAACTAAAATAGGGTTTGATAGTCGATTGTGTATGCAAAAGGTGTTAGGCATCCCTAATCACCCATTTATGAGAATGGTTACCATAATTTGACAAAACAAAATTAATATGGCTTTAATATAATTTAATTACCCTTAACAAAACAATAAGAAGAAAATTAAAATTAAATTAAAAATATTATTTATTTACATGTTGGATTTGATATAAAATGAAACCCTAGAGCCTATGTATCATTTAGAGGAATTAAAGTATACATAGCTCGAGGGCTTGGTGATTTTTAAAAGAATGATTTGTTAACTTTTGAATTTTTTTTTGATTGGGTTTATATCTTTTAATTTATAGAAGAGACTTCTTCTAGTATTTGATAAGAGATTTTGGAAGGAAAACTTTAGATTGCAATGCTTGTGGAGATTTTCAAAATCTTGCACAAAAATTAATTGTTTATTCTTACAGAGACTTCAAAATCTCATTCCACATAAAAATCATCTTCCAATCTGCTTATTTATTCGCTTTTATAAAAGATCTTTTTTATTTTAAAAAAAGTTGATTCAAGAAATATTTGCAAATTACGAAATTAAACAAATTATCCGTGGATGGATGACCCGTGCACCAAACTTCTCCGCGAATGGACTTTGACAAAGAGCTCAGACACCTAACAGGGGGTGTTTGACTGCAAACCAAGGATTTTTCTTCCCTTGTACAGTTTGTCTTTGTCCCTCGGAGCTATTGAATTTTCCCATTACACTCCAAAAAAAAAAAAAAAGGATTTTTCTTCATGCTTTGTCCGATGACAATCGCTGACAAAAACAAGAAGCTAAGCCCCCTTTGTCTGTTGATATCTGTTGAGCGATGATTTTCTTTGCATCTTTCCTCTGCGAACGGACTAAACAATTGGGCCTGGTTTTTGGCCCTTCTATCTAGTCCTTCACATTTTTGGTCCAATTTATGTTATCTTTGCCCGCTTTTCTCTACAATCAACGCAAAATAAACAAGTGAGAATTTTACCATATTTTGCGTATTATTTAGTAGATTAAGGGCAAAAAGACATATAAAATCAAGGTAAATGACCGGTTATCAAACTCCCTCACACTACGATTTTTGGTTGCCCTCAAGCTACTAACTATGTTTGACTTTATTCCTGAGTGAGTAAACATGCAAAAGGATTCGCGAACCACTTTGAGAAATTTTGACACACCCTTTATTTTTTGTGCCAACGTTTTCAGCAATCGTTCAATTAAATCAACGATCTCTATAATACCATGTTGATCACTTATTGAATGAGAGGATTTAAAACACTCACTAAATCTACATTCATGCGTTGTTGGCAGCTCTTGATCGTTATTGTTGGCTTGTTCATTTTCTTCATTTTCTTCTATATTAATTACCTCACTTTCACAGTTTACACAACCAAACTCATCATGAAGTCTATCAAATTTAGCATAAAATATCCTACACACACACACACACACACAGTCGGTGAAGAACAAAATCAAAGCACGTTCTAGGCCACATGCCAAATGGAACAAAGTCGATTGAAATTTGAGGTTCAGTCAATCTTATCCTACTATATGAAATCGGTTACATAAGTTGCATTGTTGATGGCACTCTATTAAAAAACAAAAATGTAAAAACTAGATTGTTTAAATGATTAACAGCTAAGATATGCTAAAATCCTGAAAATGTGCACTGGTGCATAAATTCACTCCACACATTAAATAAATATATCAACATTCTGGTTGTGAATTCTACGAAGTTAATAATATGTGAATTTCTTGCAGTTTTCCTTTTGAAAGAAAAGATAGATAATTTTTTATGTTTTATACGTTTTTTGGTGTATATTGCACCAAACAATAATTTCGATATTTCTTTTTTAACTGACTTTTTTTTAATAATTTTCAAAACAATAATCACTATTACTGGAATCCAATTTACAACTTTCTAATACTAATTACATTTTATTGCCAACCTTGGTGTACACGCACATGCACACTTCTCCTTATTTTCCAGCGATTAATATTTAAACACATTAACTTCATAATCTTGTACAGAGTGCAATTTAGTTTCAATGCTGATATATATATATATATATACGGTTGACATGAAGATCACACCATGTCTTGATAAAAGAGCTTCTTAAACTCATTCATATGAGCTTCTTGGAGGCACATAGCAACCACAACAGAACCATCTCCTTCAGGACTGTGCATAAGCAAAGAAGTCCCATCTTCTTCATAAGGTCCTGGCCCCATATAATCTTCCTTTCCCCACCCAAAATCAAACCCATATAGAGGCAATGTCAACCAACTCACCACCGTAATATTAGGGTTTCCATAAAATGGTCCTTCCTCTTTCCTCAGTACTGTATGAATGTCTTGGAACTCTGTCAACTCTTTTTGGTTCTTCAAGAACTCGATCAATGACCTTATGTACTTGTCTGTCACCTTCTCTATCGCTTCCCTTACTTTACTCGCAGCAAACCCTAATGGTTTTGACATGAGATCACCAGCCACACTCTGAGCTATCACATCAAAAGTCGCAGTCCCAAAGTACTCTCTTGGTAGTTCCGGCTTCATGCGACTCCTCGAATCAACACAAATACCTATTGCCGTTGGTTGCTCTTTCCTGTGTCCTCTTGCCTTGCACGAGATTGTCCATACATATCCACATATCGTCTCGTAACGAGTGAATCCTCGCACCTTGGGCTTTTCCCAACTTTCATTTGCCATCTTCCTCAATTTCTCAACTTGGTCTTTCGTTATCCTTAGCATAGCTGTTGTGGTTTTCTCCTTTCTTTCCTCTAAAGTATCTGACTGACCAAGTAGTAATGCTGGACTCCCATACTCCGGGTAATCGTTGAGGATTGGCGGCGGTGACCCCGCCAACGGTGGCTGCCCTGCTCGGAAGACGCTTCGGTCCAGAAATGGTGGTGTTTGTAGAGTCTCTCCTCTTGTAACCCTAGCCCACTCAGACATGAAGTGAAGGGCCGCTAGTGAAATAACGTAACTTGGATTAGTCATATTCAATTGAAATATGGTTTGGATTTTGGGTTTAATCAGAAGAACAGATTATAATAATGAATATGAATCCTTCACGATCACCTGGTCCATCTGCAACAGTGTGAGAAAGTGCAATGCCGATGCTGAAGCCACCGCATCGAAACGTGGTGAGCTGAACCAGAAACAGAGGAATCTCATGAATTGGAAGGCTATAATCTGCAGAAGGGAAAAGGTTACGGTGTTGAGAGCAGAGCGACAAGTCGCCGATGTCGTTTAAATTCGATTCGCACTTAGCTACAATGAATCGAGCCCCCATTGCATTGCACTGAAGCTGAAGACGACCATTGCCTATCCACTGTAAACGACCAGCCAAGGGATAAAACGACACCATCACTCTGCTCAATGAGTCTTTCAAGGTGTCAGCAATGGTGGAAGTAGTACTTTGTGGGGATCGATAGAAGTAGATGGCGGGAACGTGAGTCAGGCAACCTATTTGATCCCATTCGGATAAGGCCATTGTTCCGATCCACGTTGGATTAGAAGGCCTCACAGTGTAGCTTCCTTCGAATGTTACTGCGACTAGCATTTTTGTTTAATTTATGGTGGGTTTGTGTTTTGAGTAATTAGTATATATTGTAAGGTTCATATATATATAGATAATATGGGCATTATCAATTAGTTTTGGAGAGTTTGAGGTGGGAAAGATTTTCATTAATTCCTTGCCTGCCGGAATTGGTGTGTTCAGTTAGATGACATGAGGTTCATATGAGCCGTGTTTATTGCATAAATGCATCAGAATTTTGGCTTGGAACGCTTAATTTGATTACACGTATGTGCCAATTGGAAAACACTTTATCCCACTTTTAATATAAGATTAAGTTTAAAAGCTTTTTTTTTTAATCTTTAATATAAGCCTCATCATTTATAATTAAAGTTAATTTTTTTAATACTTTTAAGGTTTAACTAACATTTCTCAGTAAGAATTTAGCTGCGTCTTATATTAAAGACCAGAAGTTGTATGTAAAGGTGATGAACATAACTTTTGTAGGATGTTTAATCTTTTAATTTTTTTTTCAAAAGATTAATAGTTTAATCCTTATAATTAGTTAACTTCTTTCAAAACTTTTTACCTTTTTGGAAATTTTCTGTCCAAGTTGTCTCTCCTATTTTCTTCCCACTTTTTCCCCATCCAAGCCAAGCCTTAATTTGGTCTCTTTTTTTTTTTGGTCAAACTTAATTGGATCTCTTTATGACGAAAAAAACACTAGATCTCTATAATTTATTTGTGTTATTTTTATAGTTAATCTGTGTAATTTCCATTCCTTTATGTGTTTACTATTTTTACTTATAGAAATACTTCTCCTCTCGTCTTAATTTATAAAACGCTTTTGAAAAAAATTCATCATCTTAAAATATAAAACACTTTGACAAATAAAATAAAGTTTCATTAATGATGTTTTTTCCAACATTATCTTTTCTATATATTTTTATCTCTTCAATATTCTTTCACAAATAAAATATTGGCCAAGAACCATTAGATTCAATGGCATGAATCTTCCACTTTGATGTAAGGTATTGTGAGTTCTATCCCTATAAGGTCCAAAAATGGGTTTGGGATTAGGTTAGATGTGTGTGTTGGTTAGTGAGGAGTATTATATTGTGTGTTGTGTGCTAGCCAGGCTGAGTGAATATCGCATGTGTATCCCCACGTTAGGAAAAAATTTAAAAAATAGAGTATTAGATAAAGGATATTTTTAAAAGTTTATTTTTTATTTTAAAAAAGTAAGATTATAAAGTGTATAAAAAGCTTTATTGATATATATAACTTTGTCTAAAAGCATTTTATACATTGAGGTGAAAGTAATATTTGTTTCTAATGTTCCCGCTGACTAATCCGAATGCTCTGCTGTGCAGAACCATTATTACTAACGGTGGCATCTGACATATTTACTTAATGTGATTGGAAATTTTAGAGCTTAAACTTGAAATTCTAAGATAAGCTATTCAACTTCCTTGATCAAATCCACTAAGTGCTCCTGGATATGTTGACATAATATAACAGCATTGAATTTCCACCTATGGAACAAAATTCATAAAAAAATTATGCTTTTCTGTCAATTTTCTTTCTTTTTGGTCTGAAGGTCAATTTCCTTTCCATTGATTGTGAAAAAAATAGGACCATTAATTTGATGAAATGAAAATTCTTTGGTGCCACAGTTGACGTGTTTAGTTTGATTAAATGAATTTCTTGTGATAGAGGGGTTATTGTTCCACAAATTCATCAGAATTTTAGTTTTAGTGCAACGACAAGCCAGCCAATTATGTAAACACTTTTTTCAATTTTTATTTTTATTTTTTTCTTTTTATAAATATTGGAAACACCTTTTTTGATGAGGCACAAAAAGTATATCCTGCCTTTTTAAATTATGGGAGAGTTCCTACGAATAATTATGTCAATAATGTAAGTTGATTGAAACATTAGTATGTATATGTTTAGGAAATGAGTAAACATAATAGCGAAGCAGAAGTTTGCTGGCGGTTCTTTTTTTAATTTCTCTTTGTTGATTAATTTATATACTCAAAAAGAGTTCCTACCAGTAATATTTGCTGGAGTATATCTAAACTAACGTACCTTTTAAATTATATTATTTTTTTCAGTATCATCAGCTTTTCCCCCTCGCAAATTGGATGTAAATGTAGAGTATAGGGTGGAGCGTAAAATGCTCTTAATTATATTTACCTCAAAAGATAAGAAAAAGGAAATTTATAATTCTCTTTAAATTAAATTTTGATTAAGAAAATTTATTCAGTTAATGCTCCAAATTGAAGTTCAAATTAAACTTGGTTTAATAATTTGAGATAAGTGTCTATAAAAAGGAAAATAAATTTACTCCCTCATTTTAAAAATATAAAGTATTTTTTCAAAAAAATATCACCCAAAATAATTAGTTAATTATCTTTAAATTAACATCATCTTTGTATATTACCCTTATTTAACAGAGTACTTTAACAGACGTGAATGGTGAGAATGGTGCGAATTGATTAGATTAGAAACAGTGAGGACAGAGCCACGAGGAAGATTAGGAGGATTTTGGGGAATGAAGGGAATTCGTGTGCTGATTTGGGCTTGCCCGTTGGAGCTACCTTCAAACCATTATTATCCAATTGCTGCATGAGCCACCTTTGGTTCATGGGAGCTCTTGCATGGGGATGTATTGGACTATTCTAGCCCACATTTAATTGTGTAGTTTCCTTCGTTGAGGTGTTTTGCCCTGTTTATTTATCAAAATAAAAAAATGAATTATTTATTATAGATATTTTAGAGAAAAAAAAACACATTAATCTTATATAATTGTAAAGCATGCCAAGTTACTGTAGATCTATAGTTGGATCTACAGTAATTTGACATTTATTTTTTTAAAAAATATATATTAATGCTTATTTGTTTGGTTTTTATATGTGGAAAATCAATTGAGATCCACACTAAACAAATGTGTGGGACCTATGGTAGAAGAAAAGGGTGGTGCATGTAAGATCTTTAGTGAAAATGATAGGTATGAATTATGAGACATGTAATAACATTATAAATTTAATTTAGATAAAGTGTAAAAATGATAGGTATGAACTTATATTTTATTGCACACCTCATAAATTTCTTTCAATCATTATTTTTCTTCTCATATATTTATATGCTTGATAAATAGTACTAATATCGATTATGTTACTTGCTTAATTTAAAATTATTATTTCATGCAAAAATAACCTTTATCTATTTATATTTTTGAGTATAATTATAATTGATAAATACTATTATGACAAAAATTATGGTATGTGATTCTTTACCCGAAAAAATAATAATATACGGTTCGTTATAATGCATGTTTCATTTTAAAAAGTTGTTTATATTTTGGTTATGTCTTAGCTTTGGATGTACGGTAGCATCACTTAGCTCTTGCCAATAAAAATATTTAAAAGTTATTTAATTTGTAGAAGGGTAATATATTGCAAAATAAAAATTATTATTTAGATTTTAATTTATACAGGAATAACACATTTTTAAATAAAAAATTTATTATTTAGATTTTAAATATGCATTACAGAATAAATTTTAAAATATAATAAATTTTTATTCAATTTTAATTTACATAAAATACAAAACTTTATATTCACTAAAATAAATAATATTTTTAATTTTTATATTTCTATTTTATTTTTACATTTTAAGTATTAAACTATGCTATACATCACACGGGAAATAAATCATTTATACCTTAAAATATTAAAAATTTTATTTTTTTAACATTCAATCTTTTAAAAATGCCTTATATCTTTGAATGAAAGTAATACTAGTTTTTGCTTAATCAACATGAACTAGAATTATCCAAAAATCATGCAAAATATTGTTAGAGAATCTACATAATATACATAGTATTTTGTAACTTCAAAAAATTTGTAGAAAAGAAAAATAAAGAGATTCTATGGAAATCAAGAAAAGGAAGGAGAAGAATATTTGAAAATTCGACAATTAATGAAAAGTTCATAGAAAATTCAAGAGTTGAAAAATGTTTTTTTTTCTCTTTTATTTTATATCTTTATAGTAAATGTAATCAGTTTAGATTTTTAGATATTTTGTTGCGAAGATTTGAATTTAGTTCTAGGAGATTTGGTCAAACCTTCATAAATACTCTATCTGCTACTATTTTTAAGGTAGAGAGAATCATTTTTTTGTCTTATTTTTCAATCATCTCATTAATTTTTTATCTCAAGTTCAACATTTTGTCCTATTAACTATTAGTGAGAAAAAATATGTTATTAAAATGTATATATTTATCAACAAAGTATGCTATTAAAATATATATATTTAATAACAAAGTTAAAAATTTATTAAATTTTTAAACAGATTTAATAAATTTTAATATTTTTCTTAATTTAAATAGAATATATTGGAGGCAACTTATAAATAAGATAGCAAAAAGTAGATCTTAACACTCTTTTTTTTCACATTTGATTATAAATTGAATAATATTGATATTTGAATGTTCTGTGATCTCGAGTTTTTTCATTCATTTTCCACACAGCCATTGAATTGAAGAGAATCTGATTTAATGTATGAAAATTGCGTTCAATGAAACGAACCAATAAAAAGAACTGTTAAGAAGGAAAGTACTATTAACTCTGAATGAAAATAGTGGACAAAATTAATAATTAATAACTATAAGCTCCTTATTTAATTTATTTTGCATATATCTCCGTCAATTGCTAGAATATATAATTTGGGTAATTAAGATTTTAGCAATCGTAAATGCAAATACAATCAGGAAATTTTTTTGGGGGCTTCGTGACTTGGCAATATCCACGAGCTCGTCGATCTGGAAATCTCTGATTACACCTTAACTCACAACATTTCTGATCTGAACATTCATCCTTACAAGGACCTATTGTCACATTGCACGTTGCTGTTCTTTCTATTCCTCCATTTATACCTTCAAATTAGCAAAAACACATGCTTAAATTAATAATCACAAACAAGATAAATGAAATTTTAAAAATAATACTTTTACAGAGCACAATATTTTAAAGAATAAAATAAGAATTACAGCACACACGTACCAAATGCAACAGAGAGACTTGCAAGGAGGAAGATGGTGCAAATAGAGAGAAAGATCCGACCCATTTTTTTGTAGCGACTCTCCTGCGTTGCGAGATCATCTTAATATAAGGGAAGGGGAAAAAAAGATGAGTTGACTCATTGACTTCTTAATTTGTTTTTGAATAATTACAAGCTTTTACTGTACGTCACTATCAATCAATTAGTATTATTATTAATTTATTGAATTTAATGAAACAGATTCATTCGGGTCAACAGAAAAAAGACGACAGATTTAAATGCAAAACATGCGTGTTCATGCATGCATTTAATGTCAATCATAATGGCTACTATATAGTGACCACAACTTGTTTAATGAGTTGCATTTTCCAAGTTTTAACATACTTTTCTAATTCTACTTATAATTCATTTTTAACGTGTTTCATCAAAATTAAAAAATTAAAACTTATTATTAAAATTTAATAAGTTATTAATTTTATTCTTATTAAATATATATATTTTAATAACATACTTTTTTTCTTTAACATTTAATAGAGAATAAAGAGAAAAACTTATAATAAAAAAATTAATGATATAACTTAAAAATAGAATACATTTATTTTTCTCCTTGCCCTATAATAAAAGGAGTCAATTAATAATAATGATATCACTTTTTTAATATAAGGCTATGGATAACCGTGTAAAATTAGGTCAAATTAAGATATATAAGAGTGCAACACTCAGGCAAAAGATCTTCAAAAATCAAGATGTTGATATTGTCGTTCAAAGCTTGACGAGCTAGCCAATTTGCATAATAGTTGAATTCTCTAAATGCATGGTTGAAATTGATGACATAATCCCTCATGGTAAGACTTCTAATTTTCTTTATAGTTTCGTCAAATGGATGGTTCAAGTTGTAGTAATATTGAATAAACGACAAAACTTTAAGAGAGTTAGAGTATAACATTAGTGTAGGTAAATTTGTATCTCCAACAAAGAGAAAAATCTTCAAGAATAGCTAGGTGCTCAACGACTGTACTGGGATGTTAACTAAGGTATTTGTAAAGCTTTTTATTCAATTACCTTGGTCATCACAAATAAGGCCACCACATGTTGTAGTTTTATTGGACTAAATTATCAACATCTAACCTAACCCAGCCATGTTTTGGTAGAGTTCATCTAGTAAGAGATCTATCATGGTTTGAATGTACATTTTTGAGTTGAGTTTGGAGACAACGATCATTGATGATGTCTTGGGTGCTAAGGCAAATGATATCCTTGTCAAGAATGTGGTCTTCTAAGTATATATAAGTGCTGTGATCTTTCCAAATGTTCCAACATATATGAGTAAATAGTTGTTTCCAAGGGGTTCTTCTGGCATTTGGGTTTCCAACACTATTCTTTGCATTCTAGAGAATTCAATCCTACAAGGAAAGAGAGAAGAAAGTGTTAAGACTATTCTTTACATTCCAAAGAATCCAATCCTACAAGAAAAATGATAAGAAATTATTAAGTTTTGAATATTTTATTAATTTCATCCAACCTCTGACTAGAAATTATATTGGCCCAAATACCAAAAACCTTCGCCAATAGGTTTAGTTTGATATGATTTTGGGCTCATGGATGTTGATCTTTGGGTTGATTGAGTGAGAGTGTAGGCTTATTTTAAAATGCTTACATCCCGTTTGGTTCAATGTCAAAAAGAAAGAAAGAATTAAAAAAAAGGAAGAAGGAAGGAACCCTCATTTCTAGTCGGTTTTAATTGGCTTTTTTTAGTTTAGTTTGATTGGTTTAATTTGAATCAGTTTTGAATACCTTTACAAGAAATTAATTATATTACTCCCTCTGGCCTCCGTATCTAATTAGAGGTGCCAAATTTCTTACCCACATATGCCAATAATTATATTTGGTTAATTGATATCTAAAATATTCATGCTTCTTTCCTATTTATCCTGCAATTTAAATGTCATGATTTTGACAATTTCAAATGCCTTTAAAATTTGGGGAGAATTTTAATATAGGACTATAGATGTGATATAATCACAGATGAAACCTAATGAAATCTTCAATCTTACTTCAGTCCAAGCAAGAGGTATGAAATGAAATAATCCCAATAATTAAAAAACCCAAGTTCTCTTTTAAACATTAAAAATATCATGGTTATGTGTTGTTGTGAAATTAACAAGTGTTGTAACGGAATTAACAAGAAAAATTGAAAAATTAACAAGTAATGTAATTGAATTTTGAGAGTCACATATTAATAAGTAAAGTTAAATAGTTAACAAGTCTTGTTATAAAATTAATAAATAAATTTATGCAATTAATTAAAAATGTAATTAAGTTGAAATAATATCATATTTAACAAATAAAGTTAAATGATCAACAAATTCTATTGAGAAGTTAATAAGTAAAAGTTATAATATTAAAAGATAATATAGTTCAGTTAAGAGAGTCATGAATTTTATAAATAAAGTTAACTAATTAATAAATAAAAATTATATAATTAATAAGTAATATAATTTAATCGAGGAGTCACAATTTTAATAAATAAAGTTAAATAATCAATATATCATGCCCAGTCCATTAAATAAAAGGAACAGAGCAAGCCACTCAAGACAAAACGAATCATAAAAATAGGCGAAAGTTGAGAAACCAATTAACTTGCAGCTAGACCAGAACAAAACAAAACTACAATTGTTATTTTGCTCCACGATGAAATGTCTGCAACTTTCTATGGATTGGACATTGGAAAACATGATAGGAAAAATGACTAAATGAACTTCGGCTGGGTCTGGGCATGGAGTTGATGTTGCCGTTGATGGGTTTTTGTGGTGCTTTGATGGTGGCAAAGATGAGGGTGATGACGAAGAGATCCATGGCGGTCGGGGAGGAAGGGAAGAGAAAATGGAAGAGGAGGAGGAGGAGGAGGAATGTTGCCCTGAAGAGTGTGGGAAAAGTTTGGAGAAGGGCATTTCAGTAATTTCAGATAACAATTTTATCTCGCTTCTGGCCAAAATTCCTGCATATTCAGGAGTTTTTTTTGGGCCTCATTAGTCAATAGCTCTCTTCCCTGGTCCTGCAGTGAAATTCTCCCTTAAATTTGTCCAAGGAAAGTGGGTCGGGAGATTTTAATTATTTATCGAGGGCATGTGTAATAACATGTGTAATTAGTTTATGGGACTAGTTTCCCTCTTTATATATATATATATATATATAAACATTTTAAATTATTCCTAGAATTTTGTATACGGTTTTATAATTAGAGATATCAACCTTTCGGATATCAAGGTAATATGGGATATAATTGTTTCCATTTTTAATTACTTGAACATATAGAATTAATTTCAAAGTTTAGAATCTAGGTTCAAGGTTTACTGTTCCTCTTTGAGGCTTTAAAGTTTAGGATTTTTAGAATTTAGATTTTGGAATTTAAGATCAAGGGTTTAGCTTACAATTTGAATAGATAGTGATTTTTGAATAGACAGGAATGGCACTAAGTGACTAATTGATATACCCTGTACTGAATCTGTATGCATATTTGACACTCATTGATAAACTAATCTCACAAAAACTAATTTAATCAATAATTAGTCTACACCACGTTACAGGTGCCTTTAGAAGGACGCTGCCACTTAACATTCTCCCATTGCTTAACAAGTTCATCATACCTTTCCGCAGATTCAGTAGCAAAGTGTGCCAGTGAGCTGATAGCAACTGACATTCCAGCACAAAGCACCTTGATTGCAACTTCAGCCATTTTTTCTGGGGTCATCACCTCTTCAAACTGACCAACTTCCACCATTTCCATACCATTCCCACTGAATTCTTTTGATCCCATCTGATTTCGTTGAGAAGAATCTTCTCTTAGCTGCTGCTGTTGTACATAGAGGGACCCCATACCAGCAGCAAAGAAGTCCAGACCCTCGAGCACCGCTGTTCCTTGGATAGCATCTAGACGCGTTCTCCATTGAACACAAAGTCCAAATATTGGATGAGCGCCACTGGACCGGCGAGGCGAGCCCGGCGGTAGCTTGGATACATCGGATTCAGATTTCAGGCACCGGAGAAGCCAGTCGGTTATTGCATGAATGTAGGATCTTTGAGAAGTTATCCATGACTCAAAACGGGACCTCCAGTTCCTTAACTCGGTTTCAAGATTAGAGGCTGAACGGGCAAGCCTCTGGGGGTCAGTTATTGATATGGAAGTCCGTTTTCTGGGATTTGATTTGGAAGGAGTCCCAGCTAGAAGTTTCTTGGCCTCATCTAAGGTTCTCTTCTGCGTTCGATGACATTCTGCCATCACTTTCCACATCCTTGCCAACCTGCATTTGAATTGTTGAACAACTATGAGTTGAAGCAATTATCATACAAAATTCCAGGCAAGAATGCATAGTTCCTGGACAGCAACAAAATTGATGTATAACTCTCTTAACAGAAAGTTAATTTAACAGCTTTCATCTTGGGCAAGAACATTCTGCTGGTGGTGATTTCAAAAAAATAAAAAAACTTGTTGATATTTGGCATCACCGATTAATTTCTATTTGAGTATTATTGGGGCAGAAACATGGTTTTGCCTATCAACCAGCTCCAAATTCAGAACTTGCTTAAGGAGTATCAAATCCCTTCTAACTCCATCTAATTATTGTGTGTAACATTCTCCAAGTATTGAACAGTGTCTAATGAAATAAAAATTAGAATATTATTGTCCTAACAATGGCTAGCATTGATGGTTTTTCAATTGAGAGAAAAAGAAAATTTAGGTCAAGTTGGTTTGTTAGAGTCAATAAAGTTTTTCTGCAAGTCATAATTCTATTGCAGAATTTATAGCACGTAATTAAAATTCACTTTTTCCCTAAAAATTAGTTTTCGTTATTAAAGGGGCACACAGGAAAAAACAGAAATTATTTGTAGTGTGTTCAAAGTCTTGAAATTCTTGAATTTAAAAGAAAATTGCTAGGTGACAACGATTTTCATGCATACCCTTGCACCAATTCAAGAAGCTGGGGGTGCAACTCTTCATCCCTTAGAGCTTCTATTCTCTTGGAAATAGCTTCAACCGAGTGCATTGAAACCATCATCTGGGTATGAAGATCACTAATGGCTGCCCTTGTCTTATCTACTGAAGAGTGGTCCACTCCTTTAACATCCTGGTTCTTGAGTTGCATACATTTCTTCTCATATGCAATTCGAACACGTTCTCCACACTGGTGAAGAAGGAAGTCAACGCAGCGATGAGTTTCCCATCATTTATATTGACATAATGATAAGCAGGATTAACCCGTAGCTATAATAATATGATAAAATATAAAACCTGCTCACCTACACTTGTAAAACAATAGCATCTATGTTTTGTATTTTGGTGTAGGAATCAACGAAGGGATGAGGCATACCCAGTCCTGAAGGGGGATTTACCTACCAGTATGAACTCCTTATGACAGGTGATTGCAGAGCTCTTATTAAGATCTCTTTTATCAAGTGAACTAACTCATATTGGTGGAGTCGTTCAATTAGCAGTCGGAATGGTCCAAGAACAGGTCTTCGTTAACGTATTAAATAGGAAATCACTTCATGAATCAATCATTTTTGTTCATTACTTAAGAACAAATTAAGTAAAGATGAAAGAGTGACTACATGAAAGCTTACTAATAGAGAAGGCTAAATATTTTCATAGGGAAAGAGCATAGAACAGAAATATACCTTTACTTCCTCGTACAGTTTCTTCTCCCATGCATATAACCTGTCCAATGTCGAATGATGACTGCCGGAAAACATACAGGAGTCCTCTGACAGATCGTTATTGCTCTCATAATCTTCTCTGGTGCTTGAACAATTCATCAAAAATCTTGAAGAGGAAGAGCGTGAAGAAACTGACCGGAACAGAGCCACTGGGTTCAACAATTTTGTTGCTGCAAAAAGAAATATGATTTGGTTTTATGTTTTGATAATTTTGCACATATATGACTTAAACAAAAATGGCTAAATTGGAATCCATTAATAGACAGGAAAGTGGTAAACGAACATTACAATTCCAATTTCCATCAAACCTGAGAGTTCATTAGATGTTAGTAAATATTGAGCTTTCTTAGCTTCTAACAGTGCTGAGACATCATTGGCTGCATCGCAGACTATCTTGAACTGAGCTTCAAGATCACTGATCACTTCTGCCATGCTTGTTGGCTTTCGGTCTACATAAACAGTAAAGCCCGGTGTCTCTTCCTTAGTTTGTTGATTGCCAATTGTCATATCCTGACGTTTAGAATCAATGTGACCAGCTGTTTGT